CTAACACCATTGAGGCAAAATAACTCTGATTAAACATCAATCTGACAACCATTGGGGCAAAAGAACTCTGTCTAAACACAAATCTCACAACCACAGTTAGACCACAGCATTGACAGAGCCAGTCACCTGTGAACTTTGACCCTGCATAACCTTGAGGGGAGTGTTCCGGTGTCAAGCCAAATACATGATCCTGCCAAATACATGTCTCCGACACTACATGGGGGTTTCCGATATACCTGAGACAAGGGGTGGGAGGGGTTAAGTCGTGATTTGGGAGACTAAACCTAACATAAACTCCCGACATGAAGAAGAAACCTAACCTAAACCCCAATCGTAAGTCTAACCCTAACCCTAACCCCAACCCTAACCCTTACCCTTACCCTAACCCTAACCCTAACCCTAACCCTAACCCTAACCCTAACCCTAACCCTAGCCTTAAACACCTGACCTCTCACGCATGTGGCAGCTCAAGGATTTGGCTCAACACCGGCTTACAGGTGCATTCCTACAGGTGTCACAGATCCTACACAGGTATTCAGTAATAAGGGGGCCTATGATTGGTGCAGATTACTTGTTTAAAGATCGTGTAACAAAACAAAAGACTGTGGATTGAATCTTTGATACATTTTTGGTGAATATGCCAAATTGTCAAGTTAACTTTTCAAGTATAAAAAGGTGGTATCCTGAAAATACTGCAGGCAGAATAAGCAACAAGAGCCACTCAGTAAACACTAGACTGCACTCCTAAGACTGTCTAGTGTTTAAACCATTTACTTCCTCCACAAATCATTCATTGGAGTTTAACAGCGAGTATGCTGTTACAAGAGTCAAACAACTATTTATGAATAAAGTGACCAATGAGAAAGGCTGTAACAAGTTCAAATATTGACAGAGTTACACTGAAGGAGCTTTGTAGGGGAGTGGCTGGCTATTCTTTTTTAATTAGACATTTCCCAGGGTCTGAAAATGGCGTCTACAGATCGTCCTTCTACTGCGTAACAATGAGAAAGGCTGTAACAAGTGTCACTGTTCAAATACACTTCCTGAAGCCAGAGACACCCCCATGATTCGAGGTTAAGTGAAGGAAATAGTTCTTGTCTTGAGGAAAGGTAAGGTAGGAAGTTATTTTACCAGCTGAGAACTGCAACCAAAATCTTCCAGTACAAAGTTGTCAAGCTTGACTTTCGTTCTGTAACGTTCAGAATCAACGCGTTAGTTTCACTTTTAGGTAATATGAATGTATGGAGCACTGTGTTGTATAATGTTTGGTGACTCCCAACTCTGTACAGCTTTCCGCCAATGCTTGTTTTTCCAGAATCATTCTATGTAATCTTTGAACCTGAGTGGTGAGAAAGCTAAGTGGGAAATGTGTTTGCATCATGTCAAGACAAGGTGAGTTCACGCAAGATATTTCACAACCTTTCAAGTTTAACATTCTGTACATGTAACAAGTCATACACATGTATTTCATAGTTGTTTTAGCTCCATTCTGAGGGCTGCTAGTTTTGTAGGTAATGTTTCAATGCAATGCTGAAGCCATACAACTTACCCCCCTCCCCCCCCCCCAAAAAAAAATGAAATGAGGAATGGTTTTCACAGTCATTGATCATTTCAAGTATCAATTACACTGAGAATTCATTAGTTATTGGACTTTATATTTTTTATTTCACAACGAATAATCAGCATTTAGTGTGTAATTACAATGTTGTTGCAGGCAGATTTCATTTTGAAAGGTTAATATTATATTCTAAGCTAGTGTGTTGTGCTAAAGGGCGGTTATACCGGCTATATATAAGTCGCTATTTCTTTTGGAAATGGTCGGAAAAAATTTTCTTGCATTCCTAACATATATACTGATACAGATAAATAGCTTGTGTACAGTTGTTATTGCCTTGCAGGTACATGTATCTGTATAATTATTTTCCCCATATCTGTTATTCTGTTGCCTTGCAGATGTTGGGAAGTATTTTATCTTCATAAAGAACAGGGTGAGCTCAGACTGGAAGGACCTGGCTTGGTGTCTGGGGTTTGAGACACCAGACATAGACAACATTGAAGGCAAACGGCGGGATGACAAGTCCCGCTGTATGGAACTATTGTGGGAATGGCACAAGCGGAAGGGAAACGCAGCCACCATACATGTGCTGATGGAGGCACTACAAGAGGCAGACCTGAGGCATGTTGTGGACAGTCTGAAGGAAAAATATCCTGGTACGAGACTTTTATGATATCTAAGAAAGGCATCCAAGATTCAGTATAAAAAAATGACAATATTTACCCCTGATGTTACCCATAGATGGACTTGTCATTTAGACTGCATGTACCATTTCTTTTCTGACAACTATCACTGTCTATATCATGAGAAATAAGTCAAATTGAATTCAACAAATTGAATGTAGAAATTGAGTAACATGTGAGTATGCACATGTACCTTGTTTATTAGATACCATGCAATAGCAATGCATGTGAAATATATTAATATTAAATTTATTTGACTTTATTATTTCCCAACAGAGTTGAATGAAAAGCCAAACAGCTCCAAACAGCTGCTGACTGCCAAGCAACCGATGGAGGGTGCATGTGGACGTCAGCAAAAAAATCCAGTACAAACCATGTCAGACAAACAATCCATGGATAAACCTACAGCAACAAATATAGGACAAGTCAGACAGTCAGTGGTTCAGCCTGAAAGGAAAGTTCAGCCTGAAAGGAAAGTTAAAGGTACAAATGTCAGACCAATCAGGGTGGGACAACCATGGGTGAGGAAAGTCAGGTTTGGGGGAGTGGGATTAGGTAGGTCGGAATATAAATGTCCTTTGGGAGTAGCTGTCTCACAAGACAATGAGGTTTACATTGCTGATCATTATAACAGCAGAATCCAGGTGTTCACAATGGATGGTGTTTATATCAGAGAGTTCACAACAACTCTGCCAGGGGACACTGGGGAAAAGTTAAAACCATGGGATATTGCTGTAGATAGAAATGACAACCTGTGGGTGGTGAGTGGTGGACATGTAGTGCAGTATTCCAGGGAAGGCACCTGTTTGGCCAAAATAGATCTGCCATATCATGTTATATACATCCGAGGCATAACTGTATCTATGGCAACAGAACAGGTGATTGTTACAGAGTATGATGGGCAGAATGGTGGACTTCGAGTGTTTAACCAAGATGGCTCTGAGCTGGGAACATATGGTTCAGGTCATAGGTCACCAGAGCCTTGGTTGCCACAATATGTCACTGTGGATGGGGAGGGGAACATTCTGGTCACTGATGTCAACAATCACTGTGTCCATGTCTTGGACAGAGAGGGGAACTTCAAGTTCAAGTTTGGGAGTGAGGGATCTGATGAAAGTCAGCTGAAAAATCCTCGGGGCATTTGTGTTGATGGGATGGGAAACATCATTGTGGCTGACAAAGGAAATGGTTGTGTGAAAATGTTTGACAGTCAGGGCAAATTTCTGTGTCACATTGGAAGTGATATGAAGTATCCCCTGGATGTTACTGTGTCACCAGGTGGAGATGTGATGGTGACTGATTATTACGATGACACTGTATCAGTCTGGACACAGGGTTAGTGCTGTACCATAGGGGAAAATCATAATGCAACACGAGTTTTCCAATACAAAATAAATTGTAATCATTGCAGTAGTGTTCATAATGATGTTTGAGAAGCATTGAGCAAAAATGATGCATACCACAAATGTACATTAATCATCACTACTTACTTGTCTATGCTGTATTGTATATCACAATTGATTGACACATTTGTACCATTTGTAATGGATGGAGGTATTGTGTGGCGTCGGGTGGTGTAGTGGTTAGAGCAATCGACTATGAACCGGGGAGACCCGGGTTCGATTCCCAGTCGTACCCGGAACTTGTCTGAACATGCGCCCCGACGTTGTGCCCTTGGGAAAGGCACTTTACACGAATTTCCTCACTCCACCCAGCTGTGAATGGGTACCTAACTTCGGTTGGGGAAAGTCGTATTGAGGTCACCTTGTGGCACCGAATGGCAGCCGCAGAGACCCTTGCGACAGTTCCACAAAAAATAATTGTGGAACAAATATGTGTTTATGTGTATTATTTGATTGTTGTAATTGCTGTGATTTGTATTATTATGTGATACCCTGCATCAATTCAGCCGTATAAAGGCTGCGACTGCACGGGTACTGTTTGGACAATAAAAACTATTAGTATAGTTGTATCACTCAGTAGGGCTCAAAATACCAACTGTACTTATGCAGATTAGTGCATGTAAAATTGGACATAACTCAACTGTACATATCTCAGAAGTTCACCAGCAGATGTATAGTCATACTTTTTTTGTAGTTATAGTCCTGTGTTTGTGTGTGGAGTTTTGCTCCCTTTTCTGATCATTAACACTGGAATGCTAGTAATAATGTTTTTGCTGAAAACACAATTAAAGGAACATAAATGATACTTGATAGTCAGTTTGAATCACTGTGTCTTCATAGTACACATTCAATCACTTCAAGTAGGACAATGTCTGCATAGGGCTCTTTCTTTTATGACAGATGCATGGGAACGTAAGGAAATGTGGTTTCCATGGCAATATATTCTTCGGAATTCCACTTAATTCAAAAATTGCTTCTACCATGTGCAACATTTAGGACAGTAAGACAATCTAAAGGAATCATCATCATCATCTTGTATACTGCTTAGCCTGATTTGCATCGGATTACGAGCAGCTGCACGTGTGTTAGTTACAAAACAGGTGACCGGTGCAATAAAAACAAGAGTAACTGAAGGAGGGGACACTAAGGAACATAAATAACTGAGTCTGTGGGTGTAAAAGACAAGACAGTGCATTTAGTGTGTTAGTAGAACATATAAATAATAATATAATCTCCAAGGAGATCTCTCTATGGCAAATTGTAACTGACTGGAGGTGCAATATCAACATGACACATTCAAAATGAATTCATTTCAATTCAAAGCTAAGAAACAAGAGAAGAGAAGATCCATTTCCTGACCTGGTTTCTCTGTAGACTGCAGCATGGCCATGTTGCCATAGCGATCCTTGGAGAAGTCTTCTGTTGCCTGGGCGTCAGCCTCTGCAGCCTGGATAACAACACAAGTTACATTGAAGAAGGTTAGACATCCGGGTAGGACATTAATATTATGTAAATAATATACTGCATGAGATAAATCACAAGTTACATTGAAGAAGGTAAGACATCCGGGTAGGACATTATGTAAATAATATACTGCATGAGATAAATCACAAGTTACATTGAAGAAGGTTAGACATTCGGGTACAGGGTTCTAGCTAGGATTTAATTTTAGAGTAGTGGCACTGGCCGCATTTCTAAGGTATGTACAATGTATCCTTGATTGGTAATTTTTCACATTTGATCTGGCATTCTTGAACAAAGAAATACAGTCACAATGCCCCTACCCTGTATTGAAAATTAGTTACATTAATGAAGGTAAGACATCCGGGTAGGACATTATGTAATACTGCATGAAATAAATCAAGCAACTTGACACCTCGGAAGCAACACAAGTTTCCTTGATTCATCAATTCTATGTTAGGTCGTGTGGCGCAGCGGTAGTGCGTTCGGCTCGGAACCTAGAGGTCCAGGGTTCAATCCCCACCCATGTCACCGATCTTGTGCCCTTGGGAAAGGCACTTAACACGAATTTCCTCACTTCACTCGGGTGTAAATGAGTACCTAGCTTCGGTTAGGGACGTCCCTCGGATAGGACGTAAACTGGAGGTCCCGTGTTTGAGGAGAGCCACACCTCGAGAACATTAAAGATCCCACCACACCTTTCGTGATCCCACCACTGCCCCGGTGTGCGATGGTCCAAATTCTACAGCCCAAATACTACAGTGTAGCAGAATCATCAGCAAGTTGATGTTGGCTACCTTAACCCCCAAAGACCCAAGATTCATATCATACCTGGGCCATGATACATTGATAACCTTTGATAACAGTGTTCTGGATCAGGCTGTACTTAACGGTATAGCCCGGGCTTCCATGGACTTTGTATCATAAAGTTTTAAAAGTACAAATTTCTGTAGAAACTTTGACATGCACAGATGAAATCTCCAATTTTTTTATCTGTAATTCAGACATTGTGAGGTTAAGCTTGACAACAAAGTTTCAAAGTTTTTTGTAGCTGATGAAGGTAGTGACTGAATTCAGCTAATCAGCTCGTTGACAAACAGTCCCTTGAGATTCCCCCTGACTATATGTGTAGTTACCTGTTGAGCCTGCCTCTGGGCCTTCTTAGCTGCCTTCTCTGCATCCTTCTGTTGTTTCTTCAGAGCTTTCTTAGACAGTGGCTTTCCATCTGGCCTATAGGCAAGGAGGGAAATGTAATACCAGTAAAATATTGTTCTTAAGAGTGTTTTTTTTGGGGGGGGGTATCCTGAAGTTGGGTAATACATGCTTATTCTTGCTCATATATAAGGTTATTTTTCATCTTGTTTAGTACAATGATGCAACATAATGCAATCATGGTACATGTATAATCAATGGAAAGACCACTTAACACTTTTTAAAGATAAGAACGTTAAAATTACTATAAATAATTCCCTATGCTCAACACACACACATTCAGTTAGTTCACTGACACTAAGTGTTTGTAACCCCTACCATCTTTTAATTGATACATTGCTACACTGTCACAGCTTGAAAGTATGAAAGATAAAACCTAAAAGTAGGCCATAGACTATCTTCAAAGTTTTTGTTCAGCCCAGTTAGTGCACTTCAGTATAGAATTTCTACCATTCAATACATCCTTCCCTAGCCAGTAAAGAGACTGACTGGTTCGACCTACATTTAAGTGGTCTCTCCACTCCAGACAATAATCACTTGGTCATTAAGGGCCTAAACACACCAGGATGTTTTGCATCTAAATTGCATTTTGCATATATGTCATCTACTGTAAAAACTCTTCTTAAGGGGTATGTGACACTATTCTTTGGTTACGGCATTGATAGATAGATCGTAGAAAACATGCACAGATGTTAAGTGTATTTCTCCAAAACATTGTTTTACGATAATTTAGCGACTTGTTGCATCATCCACCACACCCCCCTCCCTCCCACTTAGCCCCTTTCAAAATACTCCCCCAAAATTCTCTCTAAAAACTATCAAATTGACGACTGATATTGAATCAAAGAGGCGAACACCACACTACAAACCCAAGAGGGACCTCCGGTTGGTCGTTCTCCTTCTCCATACTTCAGAAGTTGGACGAATTTTAATAGGACTGTCTGGTTGTATAACTTCTTAGCCACGTTTCTATGCGGCAAGTAAGCTATTTCAGGAAGGTCAGAGGTCAGCTAGGATATTAGAATGTACCACTCCGCACACAACATTGGGATAGATCGAAGAATTTTTAAAATGCTGATTTAGAAAGAAAATATACAGAAAATCCTCAAATATGGATACAAAATCACTAATTATAAAACATAAATGGTAAAGTTCTGATTGCAGATAGAAAATAGCAGCTGATTTAATATAACTTTTTAATTTGTAATTCTTGCACCCCTATTTTTGATAAGTCTAATATTCTGAGAATCGTCTACTGGAAATAGGGAAATATGTATTTATCACTGTTTGAAAATTAGAAGATATTATTCAAATATAACGTGTGATTAAATGTATACTATTAAACTAGCATTTTATATACATTTGATCACCAAAATGTGATATAACTGTTTCTTTACTAGAAATTATGGTCAGATTTAGATACACCACACCCCTTTAGCAGTTGGAATGGTATATCCTATCATGGCGGAACTTTGATAGGTTGTTTGTTTTGGTAAAGGGACCATTTATCTTGTCCCGAGTATGTAAATTAGACTCCTTAAACAGCAATGCATGCAAATATCATGCAGATATATAATTTAAATAATGCAGGAGAAACTGGGAAAAAGCAGGAAAAATCGGGAGAATACAAGAGAAAGAAGGAGAAAGCAAGAAAAAGCAAGAAAATATAGGAGTAAGCGGAAGAATATAGAAGAAAGCAGGGGAATACAGGAGAAAGCAGGAAAATACAGGAGAAAGCAGGAAAAAGCAGGAGAATACAGGAGAAAGCAGGGGAATACAGGAGAAAGCAGGAAAATACAGGAGAAAGCAGGAAAAAGCAGGAGAACACAGGATAAAGCAGGAGAATACAGGAGAAAGCAGGAGAAACCAGGAGAAACCATACACAGAGTAGAGAAACCAGGAGAATACAGGAGAAAGCAGGAGAACACAGGAGAAAGTAGGAGAACACAGGAGAAAGCAGGAGAAAGCAGGAGAATACAGGAGAAAGCAGTAGAATACAGTAGAAAGCAGGAGAATACGGGAGAAACCAGGAGAATACAGGAGAAACCAGGAGAACACAGGAGAAAGCAGGAGAACAAAGGAGAAAGCGGGAGAATATAGGAGAAAGCAGGAGAATACAGGAGAAAGCAGGAGAATACAGGAGAAAGCAGGAGAATACAGGAGAAAGCAGGAGAATACAGGAGAAAGCAGGAGAATACAGGAAAAAGCAGGAGAATACAGGAGAAACCAGGAAAAAGCAGGAGAACACAGGAGAAAGCGGTAGAACACAGGAGAATACAGGAGAAAGCAGTAGAATACAGGAGAAACCAGGAGAATACAGGAGAAAGCAGGAGAAAGCAGGAGAATACAGGAGAAAGCAGTAGAATACAGGAGAAAGCAGGAGAATACGGGAGAAACCAGGAGAATACAGGAGAAACCAGGAGAACACAGGAGAAAGCAGGAGAACAAAGGAGAAAGCGGGAGAATATAGGAGAAAGCAGGAGAATACAGGAGAAAGCAGGAGAATATAGGAGAAAGCAGGAAAAAGCAGGAGAACACAGGAGAAAGTGGTAGAACACAGGAGAATACAGGAGAAAGCAGTAGAATACAGGAGAAACCAGGAGAATACAGGAGAAAGCAGGAGAAAGCAGGAGAATACAGGAGAAAGCAGTAGAATACAGGAGAAAGCAGGAGAATACGGGAGAAACCAGGAGAACACAGGAGAAAGCAGGAGAATACAGGAGAAAGCAAAAGAATACAGGAGAAAGCAGGAGAATACAGGAGAAAGCAGGAGAAAACAGGAGAATACAGGAAAAAGCAGGAGAATACAGGAGAAAGCAGGAAAAAGCAGGAGAATACAGGAGAAAGCAGGAGAAAGCAGGAGAATACAGGAGATAGCGGGAGAATACAGGAGAAACCTGGAGAAACCAGGAGAAAGTGGTAGAAGCAAGGAGAAACAATGAGAAAGCAGGAGAACACAGGAGAAACCATGGGAAACTAGGAGAAAGCAGTTGAAATCAGGAGAATACAGGAAAAGGCAGGAAAAAGCAGGAGAAAGAGAGAAAGCAAATACTTTTCTTTTTTGTATACAGTGATGGGCGCCTAGAAAATACTTTGATGCAAGGTAAAAAAAGAATGATGAATGATGAATGACAGACTTGACTTTTATTGTACGTTAATACTCTCACAAGTTAAGTACAGGTCATGAAAGGTAAGCGCATTGATTACATAACGATAGCAAAATCTACTATAGCGTCTTAATATAAATGTATACTAATTTACTATGTACAGGTTCAACTTCTTCTCTCTTCCTTAACACAGTTGCAGATTTAAGACCTGATGATGAAAAGAAAGTACGGTGGAAATTTCATATAAAGGAATCAAAACTATTAGAGGCATATTGATACATATACTGAGTCTTATAGACAGACTGTCGAAAATACAGACAAGAAGTTGCAATCTGGAGGAATTTCATTTTGGGGAATAGGTATTCTTGCATAACTATTTAGTGGTTACAATTTACTGATGTCACAGCGTATAACAAGTTATTTTTTCAAGAAATACAATTTTTACAATACACTATTTCTAACCTACATAAACTACGTCTTGGCCACTATGTAAGGCCACAGCAAGTAAATTTCTTCTGCTTTCTCCTGGCTTCTCCTGTATTCTCCTGCTTTTTCCTGTGTTCTCCTGCTTTCTCCTGTGTTCTCCTGCTTTCTCCTGTATTCTCCTGCTTTCTCCTGCTTTCTCCTGTATTCTCCTGCTTTCTCCTGTATTCTCCTGCTTTTCCTGTGTTCTCCTGCTTTCTTCTGTGTTCTCCTGGTTTCTCCTGTATTCTACAGCTTTCTCCTGTGTTCTCCTGCTTTCTCTGCATTCTCCTGCTTTCTCCTGTGCTCTCCTGCTTTCTCCTGCTTTCTCCTGTATTCTACCGCTTTCTCTTGTGTTCTCCTGATTTCGCCTGGTTTTTCCTGTGTTATCCTGGTTTCTCCTGTGTTCTCCTGCTTTCTCCTGCGTTCTCTTGCATTCTCCTGCTATCTCCTGTGTTCTCTTGCATTCTCCTGCTTTCTCGTTTATTTTACTTTATTCTGTTACGTTATTACGTATTTGCAAGGTATCTGCATGTATAAGCACCTCATTTACATACTCGGGACAAAATAAATGGTCCCTTTACCCTTGTTGGTATGCAGACGAAATTTTCTGGAGCTCATCTCGCCAGAATCCGCGAAATTCGCCGCAAAACTTCTCCGTGCATGGACAACATCGCCGGGAACCGCCATGTCCAGGAGAAAGCAGCAGAATCCTACCAGATTGGCAGGTAAAATCGAGCGAAA